GTAATTGCAAGCTTGGGGTGCTCCTGTTTTGGCAGAAAAATGACTTTGCTGCTAGTCACCAAGAAGGCAAGCTTCCTTTGTGAAGGAGTAGTTGTACTCCAATTCTGGTGTATAGACTCCAGAAAATGATTGCAATTGTTAAACTGTGCCTCTGTTTTCAAGTTACTCAACCAATAATTGCGTAAGCTGCCATGCAAGTAATGTCATCCCCTCTGAGTATTATTGCGTTGTTACAACTGACTTGGAGGATCTGTCCTGTTTTTCCCCCCATTATGGTAATTAGGCTTTGGACCACATTCAAAATATTGGAAATGCCTACAGCCTGGTAAGAATGCATGCATGTGTTCAGTGTAGCAATAACACTGAACTTATGCTGATCTGTCATGAAGAAAGGAATCATGAAATAGTTTTTCAGATAGGAATCTCCTATCCTTTCATCTGTACCTCTGTTTCTGTATCACAAAATTATAAGTGAATGGCAATATAAAACTACTGCTCTGGTGTATTCATCTGTGGGGAAAAAGTATCAGGCTTCTGGGGTAAAGTAGTGCAATTTATCTTTGAAAGATAACTTGATACCTTGTCCATAAATAAATTGACTGTGATGTTAATGTGGAGGTTATCAATTTGTTTCAAAGTCTGCCAGGCTATAGTATTCCTTCATTGACCATAACCAGGCTTCATCCAGTAGTTCAAGATATGAAAGCTGTTTATCATCCTTCTGCTGTACTAGGGTCAGTGGTATTCAAATGCTTAGTAAAAAGTGACTTTAGCATTCAGAAGAGATGCCCAGGGCTTGGGCTGATTCATGGCACCTTCACGTGGCATCCCATGGAACTGCAGTCAGAGACAACTTGAGTTGCTGTCCTCAAGAGTTGTGGACTGCATTTCTTTCACCTTTAAATTCCCTGGAAGAATGTACAGTAGTTGCTTGCATGAGAGTAGACCAATGAGCTCTCTATGGGCTGGCCTTTCTAGGTGGGTGACCGTTCCTATTATACAATACAGCAAATACCTCGGAGGCTATGCGATGAGAACTGATAGGAAGGAGTGGTTCTAGGAGCCTATTCTAAAGAGAATACAAATACAAGAAAACTATGCTACTGCTTCCAGGTAGCATTATGATAGTATTTTTGAAGTAGGGTATTTAAATATTCATCTAGTATATTCTGGGGTTTTGCTACTTAGTTTGAGAAGCATAAGGATAGCAAGTTTCCATGGGATGAGGGGGAAGAATAATTTAAGCTATCATCTAAGTACTTGATTAAAACAAAATATAATTAAATGTAGATTAATACCATACTTGCCTTCTGTTCCTCATATGTGGTTCCCACCTCCATTGTAAATGACTGTCTCTCTTACCTGGCTTAAGCTTCAGAGGCATCACTTCTTATTGTGTATAAATGCTTATTAAAACATCTAGATACAAAGAAAGTCTATTACCTGTGAAAAAGATGGAAGTAAAATAATATTGGGTAGATTGTTATCAGTGACTATCATATAATAAGACTTGATTTCTTTTGTTTTTTATCTTCAACTTTTGCCAGATAAAATTCTTTATTAGGATGATGACTTGGTGTGTCATTTCTTCTCCATTCCTTGTAGCCCCCATTTCCCATCTTCCACTTACATTTAACTCTATGTCAAAATTCTGTTCTTAAGAAGAAAATCCTCTGCGTGAGTCAGGATCAAGTGTCTCTAATTCAAGTACAAAAATGGGCTGTTAAACTAAAAGTAACAAGGGTGGGTAAGATTAAATCCTTCTGTTTAAACATGTCAGAAACTGTATTTAGTTCTAAGTATATAAATTGAAGAAGGGTTTTGTAGATCAGAGTTCATGGGCTTCAGTACAGAGCCTTGTATTATCTTTCAGAGAACTCTGGAGGTTTGTAAAGTACTTGTTTCACTTAGCCCCATTAAAAAAAGGACATTCAAGCTTATTCCAATTTAGAGGTTTTAAGTGGAGGAAGTTAAAATTATACATGTAACAAACTTTCTCCCTCATATATCTACCCCAATGTTTTATCAACGAAGCCAATGGCTAGTTTATACTGCTTACATGGTGTTATGTAAATAACTTGGGAATTGCCAGGGCTTGGTGTATGGGTAATAATGCCGGTGCAGCAGTGACCAAAAGCGCCTTTCCTTTATGATGGTGTTTGGAATCTGAGAAATATCTTGTTTCTGCAGCACAGACAAACAGTGGTATTACCAGAGTCTTAAACTCTGATAGTTTTGTTTGTTTGTTCCCCCCCCATATTGAGAGAAGCATGGCATACTTAATGGTAATAAGTGATGGAGAAATAGTCAGTCTAGGATTGTGACACCTTTAGCTTGGCAGCTGAGAGACTCTGAATAGCTTTATTTTGTAGAAATATGATTACTTCATGGATAGACTCAAATGTATTTTATCCTTATCCCCACCAAAATAGTAAGTAATTTGTCTATTGTGGATAAATTGATTTGTAAATACATTTTAATGTGCTTTTCCTACACTTCTGTTTGAGTTTAATCATGTGGAAACATAAAAGTGGATATGTGACTTAATATTGATGTACTTCTAACAAACGAATAGTAATAAAAACTTATTATCCTAAAGCATGGCAGTAGTTTTTCAATGCTTTAGCTGAACTGTGTGTGCAGTTATGTCTTTGAGCTGATCAAAGCTGCTTTGCTCACACTAGTTTAAAAAAAGTATTCTGTATTCTAGTAGCTATCATATTCCACACTTCTTCACAATACTTTTGAAAGTATTTTTTCACAGAATAATCTTAAAATCCTAAACTCTATTCTTCCATCATATATTTAAGTGAAAGAATACTCTAAAGTTAATAGACCAAGATAGGGTTGGTTTTTTGATTTAGCGAAGGTGTTAGTGCATCAGAATGGGAAGAGGTTAGTAAGCCTTCTATATAGCTTTTCTAGAAGCTACATTCACTCTAGTGTTGTTAAAAATCCAGTTTTAACTTCTTATTTGTCATAACTCATACTTGTCCTTAGAACAATTTTTTTAATTTCATCTCTATTAAAAACTGTATGGAGGGTTTTAGTTTAGAAATAACTATAACTGTTGACCATATCTGGCAGACTTATCTAAGAAAAGATGAGGAATTCTAAAGTTAAACCCTGCTTTACCACCCCTGCAGTTTTCCCTTGAGTGAGTTAGCTTCTGTGCAACCTACAAATAAAGTCCTAGGAGTTAGACAGCTTAGTCTTTGACCCAGCTAATGAGCTTCTGTAATTAAGCATTGTGACATAATATTTTGTACTGAAGGGTTGAACTGAATCTTAACAAACACTTATGTTATTTGATATTGTAAAGTAGATGATATCGAAATGGCATTGGTGTGGCAGGCAGGCTACTTGTCCTAGGCAGTGATCAGACTAATGTAATTGTCTCTTTTTGCACCGGGCTTAGCTTTTTTTTGAGAGAGAATGCGGGAAGGAGGATATTACTAAAGTTGTAAGACCAAAAAGATAAGGCGCTCCTACTTTGTTGTATCCACTTAGAATAGCAGAATGGCTGAAGCTGGAAGGCACCTCCGGAGCTTGTCTAATCCAAGCCCTGGGCTCAAAGATCAACAAGAGCAGGTTGCTTAGAGCCTCATACAATTGGGTTGTGACTCCACAGCTTCTCTGAGCAACCTCTTCCCAATGTTTGACTGCTCTCACAGTAAAAGTTTTCTTATGTTTAACTGGATCGTAATTAATTTTCCTGAAAAATAAACCCTCTGCCATGGGGAAAAAAGCTTGAAAGGTACTACCACCTATTCTATCATAGGATTTCAGTAAGTTTTCACTCCTTCAAAGCCCAGAAGTCATAGAACATAGATACCTTTTTCTTTTGTCATTCCCCAAATAACATGCATTCAGATGCTCATGGCCTGTTTTGTTTGTCAATAGGCAAGAAGTGTCCTATGCCTTTTATAGAAAGACTTAAAGCAGAACAGATTAAACCAGTTTAAGTTATAGACTATTTCTCACTCTAAGTTATAATGTGTGCATCAACAAATTTTCATAGACCATCAAGATAAAGACTTCTGTACACAAAAAGGAAAAATATTGGAGAAAGCTTGCAACTTAAATTTTGAGCAATTTTGCACAATGGTTTGGGAGGGAGAAAGCTCTAGAAAGTGTTGTTATAAGTTGCTTGCATAAAGGCTTCTATTACTTGTGAAGGTGCCTATATGAAGGATTAGCTAGGAAGAGCACTGTGACTCCTTACCAGGAACTTACTTTTATTGTGCAATAATTTTCCTGTACAGACTAGTGCTACTAGCTCTTATCCTAAGGGCAGTGATTGCTGTTCTTGAACATTCATATTACCTTTGAAGCAATCTAGAAGAGAGAAACAAGAACAATCAGAAGACATGAAATAAATAATAAATTGGAAGAACAGCCTAAAGACAAGAGGACTGGGGGGACAAAACCAAACATAATTATATGTAACGTGTAATCTCTGGAATAGTGGAGAATGAGATGAAAAGAAATAAGCTTACATTTCGGACAGAGATCAAGACTGGACATTATTAAATAGAATTTCTTATGGGTAGTTAAGATTTATTTAGCTTATTCTTCATAGTATCTAATGATATATTTTCATCTTAAGCAGTTGTAGAACCTTTATCTAGGATGACATCAGCATGGCTTAAAGGGGAGTAGATCATGTCTTGAAGTTCTTCACTGTGTAGTTTTGGCCAAAACCAGACTGGATGTCATGGGACGAAGAAAAAATTCTGTAGTTAGTGCGTGTATATAATGGAAAAGATAGTTACTGGAGTATCTTAAACTGAAGCTACAAATGCTTTCAAATTAATTGTTACTATTGTCCCCTTAAATGAATCAATAAAGGGCTTATCTGTGGCACCATATATATTGGCTACTTGGTATTCCCCAAAAGTTACTGATTTGCAGCTTTAACTATCAACAACATGCATGCTGAAATTTGCTTAGCTCTTCTGTGTAAATAACACTTTTTTTTTTTTTGTTCTTTCTCCCAGTTTCTATGGAGATTTTGGACCTTTAAATTTGGCAATGTTATACAGATACTGCTGTAAACTGAATAAGAAATTAAAGGTAAGATTTGTTTAAAAACAATGTTCCTATATTTTTTTGTGTTTTGAAATTCAACTAAAATGTATTATCCAGTTTGAAAGTGCTTGTTAGTTGCTCATTATCTAGATGGTTAGTACTAACCTTTAAGGTTGTTATTTGTTCTGAATTCTTTTCCCTCTGAAGAATGGAAAAAATGCATGTGCTCTCATTGTTGCTTAGCAGGTGGGGCACTGAAGGATGTGTTCACCTTTTTCCATAACCTTACAGTTTCAAGACAATAGTAGCAAAAACACTCTGGACAGTTCATTGGTTTGCAGCTAATGAAGTGGGTATGCTACTATGAATTACTGAAAAAACATATTAAAAAACCAACCAAACAAAAAACCCCACACCCATGAACAAGAACAAAACATGGGCCCCAAAATCACACTCTTTAAACTAAATCTCACTCAGTGGAAAAGTTAAAACTTATAAATATCATTCAATTTAATAAAATGTCACTTCTAATAAGTGTTATGGAAATGTGTTTTTACACATATAAAAATGGTTCCTTTCTGTCTTGTAGAAGTGTCACTCTCTAACAATTAAATTGTAGAAGCTTTCTTATTTCTTGCTTCCATATAATGATTGTTGATTCAAGGCAATTTTGAGTTGCTCTTCACTAGAGATAGAAAATTTTCTATCTTCTTTGGATACCACAGTAGCTTTTTCTTTTGACTGTGAAGTGTTGGTCCTTTCTTTATAAAGTTGCCTAGAATCTGTAATTGCAGCAGTTAATTCTGAAGATCACCATGACTGAGTTTTGTTCTAACAACACTGTCCTGTCATAAAACCACAAGCTTGATATGTGCTGACCCTGGCCAGAAACTAAACACTGGGCAGCTGCTCACTCGCTCCCACCCCAACCGCAGTGTGGGACAGGGGAGAGAATCAGAAGAGCAAAACCAATGAAAACTTGGGGGTTGAGATAAAGGCAATTTAAGTGGGGGAATAAGAAGTGGGGAGAGATGGCAGGGGGAACAAAACAAGTGGTGCAAAGGCAATCACTCACCACCTCCCACCAGCAGACCAATGCCTGGACAGTCTCTGAGGAACTGCTAGCTTAGAAAGACTGCTCCTCAGTTTTATTGCCGAGCGTAATGTTATATGGTATGGAATATCCTTCTGGTCAGTTCGGGCCAGCTGTCTTGGCTGTGTCCCCTTGCAGCTTCTTGCCCACCCCAGCCTACTTGCTGTGGGGGCAGAGTGAGAAACAGGCGGCCTTGATGCTGTGCAAGCGCTGTTTGGCAATAGCTGAAACATTGGTGTGTGATCAACACGGCTTTAGTCACAAATCTAAAACGCAGCATCATGCAGGCTGCTATCGAGAAAACCAAACTCCATCCCAGCCAGACCCAGTACACTGAGCATATAACTGTAGGTTTAACCTGGTCCCCAAATGCCTGTGAAAAAGTGATTTGCAGCATGTATAGAAAATTTATCAACTGCAAGAAATAAAACAGATGTTTTATTTCCAAAGTACTAATTAATGCCACTTGTGTGCAAATAGCAAGGAGACACTTCACTAAATATTACAGATTTTAAATCTTTGTAATATAAAATACTAGACCTGTTACTGATAGAAGGGGAACATGGGACAACAGATGTGATAACATTGGCCACTGTTAAGAGGATTCCTGTACCCAAAAATTACGTTCTGTTTTGGGACTAGTGTTTGCTGCACAAATGAAACCATTATGCAAGTTGATTCACGCTATCTGCTGCTTCCAGGGGCATGCTGACTTAAAGTCAGGTAGTTTTAAGAGGAGGTTCTGCAAATTGAAGGGTTTGTAGAGTTGCTATAACCTTTTGCAAAGAAGTGCTTCTAGTGAAAATTTACATTGCTTCTTAATAAAGAAGGTTAGTTACAAATAAAAAAACCTAAACTCTAGTATTTCTAATTTTGAATGCCTGTGTTCATATTGGAAAAACATTGGATTTGCCATTTCTGTGTTAACGCTGATCAGAGCTTATAAATACATTATCACCCTATTTTCAGTGCCACTGTCCCATTCAAACACATGACCAATGACGCTCACTCACTAGGAATCTTTTTTTTTTTTTTTACCTTAATTCTGCTGTTTCATAGAATCACAGAATACCAGGCTGGAAGGGACCTCAAGGATCATCTGGTCCAACCTTTCTAGCACAATCTAGACGAGGTGGCCCAGCACCGTGTTCAGCGTAGCAGAGTCAACCACTTCCCTGGGGAGATTATTGCAATGATTGACTGTTCTCATTGTGAAAAATTTACCTCTCGTGTCCAATCAGAATCTCCCTGGGAGTAACTGGTACCCGTTACCCCTTGTCCTCACCATGTGACTCCTGGTAAAAAGGGAGTCTCCATCTTCTTTGTAGCTCCCCTTTAAGTACTGGTACATGGTGATGAGATCACCTCAAAGCCTCCTTTTCTCAAGGCTGAACAAACCCAGCTCTCTCAGCCTATCCTCATATGGCAGGCTTCCCAGACCCTTGATCATCTTGGTGGCCCTTCTCTGGACCCCCTCCAGCCTGTCCACATCTTTTTTTGTATAACAGGGACCAGAACTGTACACACTATTCCAGGTGTGGCCTGCCAAGCACTGAGTAGAGTGGGATAATGACTTCTTTATCTCTGCTGGTGATGCCCTTTTTGATGCAACCCAGCATGTTTGTGACCTTATATTTGAGTTATTAAGGACTGTGGAGAATGCTTGCTCTGTGAAGTGATTACTCCAGAGAAGAACCAATAATAAACCTACTATTCTAACTTTCACTGTGCCTATGAGAACTAGAGAGATTAGTTCTGTTTTTTCCAGATTCAGATTGAGACTGTGATTGGTTTGGGACCTGAATACAGTCTCGTGTATCACTGTTGAAGTGTACCTTTGTACTTTTATAGTTGAACTAGAACACCTTCAAACTGGACCCTAGATATCAAGAGTTTCACCCAGAAAATAAGAACACAACTTACAAATACCTCAGGACTTGTTGTTTTTGTTTGTTTTTTTTTTTTTTAATGGTTCAGTATTAAACAGGAATGTCTCTACAGTCTTTTATTCTTGTTAGAAGACCATCATCTGCAATGAATGAGGCAAGCTACTCATCATAAACGGCTAGTAATCACGATGGTATAAAGATTGTATATTATAATGGAAAAAAATACACAAGGGAGCCAAACTGAAACTGAATTAGTAACTCTGACATTGGCAGGGTTGATTTAGCAAACCATGATGTCATTTTAATGTAACTTTTGCATTTTTTTAAAAAAGCAAACACACAGTGCTAGGTGAAGAGTGCAGATGGTCAGGAACAAGACAGAAGTATCATGCAGATCAGCTGCAGTCTCAGCTGGGAGGAGATGCTGTTTGTTGCTGGTACCTTACCAGAGGCTACTTCCAAATAGGTTAATTTAAACTACTCCTGCATAATAGAAAAGGGTAACCTGATAGTGCAACCACTTGAAAGTAATACCTGAAATCAAACAGCTAAAGCTTGGAATACCACCAGAGTGGTATAGAAACTTGCACATGAATAGATTCCAGCCTGGCTGATTGGCACTACCCTTGGGGTAGGCCAGTACCTGCTAAAGTAAGCTTTGCTCTTCTAATAGTTAAAATATGTGCCAGACTCTGTCCTAATTTAGATACTACCTGCAGTGGGTAAGTAGGCTTGTGAGACTAAATCCTAGGCCTGAAGGGTGCATCTGATGTGTACTGTAGGCCTAGCTACAAAACGCTAGTGCTCAGCTTCACTAGTCAAGAATTATGGATTCGCAGTTTCTACCCTCCTACCCCGCACCTTCTCATGTCTGTCCTTCACAAGTGTCCCTGAGAGGATTCCTGAGGCCTGAACTAGTGTGGATAAGACAGAAGTCCGTGACCTGTGACTTACCTGCCAGCAAGACATTGACACAGTGAGCAACTGCAGCAGCAAAAGTATGGTAATTCTCAGGTGGCACCAGGGGAACACACGGGCAGCCCGTGATCAGGGTTTCAGAGATGGGAAGCACTGATTGGACTAACGACGTGGAGAAAGAGTCCTGTTGGGCAGCCTGCTGCTTGCATACCCTTGCATTAAGGGTAATCGTGCCCCGTGACCAACAGCAAGAGTTGGCTGATCATAGGAAGTAAAAGGCACTGCAGATTATCATTCTGTGGAAATCCAGCCTCTGCTGTGGGGTGGTTGCTGTTGCCACACTGCAGCGCTTTTGGGACGCTGGGGCAATCGTAGTGTTTAAGCCCAGATGACTCCTGCCATGGTTTGGTATATACTTGGCTGGGCATGCACTTCCTGTATTTTTCTTATAAAAAGAGCCTTTAAAAGAAGTGCGGCACAAAAAAAATTATTCACAGAATGTGATAGTTTTTGTGTGGATATGGTGTCTCAAAAGGAATTTAAGACTTAGACTCTTATTAATTTTAAAAGTCCTATGAATAGGAACAGGAGAAATGAGAGTGTAAGTTCTCATTAAAACAAACCCCACAAACTTCCTCTCCAAGTCTTTCAGCTATATCTATTTCTGATTTGGGAGAGGAATTAGACATGGAGGCAGTTTTCTGCTTTCCCCTCCCCTTTCTTGGGGGTCAAGTGGGGAAGGCGGAGAATACCAGTTTGAAATGCGCTAATGGCAGACCAACATTTTAAAGTAAACTATTGTAATTTTATGCTGACTGATTTTAAAAAGAGTAAATAGTTCTGTTCTGAAGAGCTGAAGAATTTATTCAGATATCCATTTGCTGAGACAGTTGGAGGTAAAGTCCTGGTTATGCTTTACAGGAAAACCTTTCTGACCTTGTTATATTTGTAATGTTTTGATTGCTGATTGCTATGGAGATGGTCTTGACAAGCCAAGTCAACAGCAAGAAAAAAATGCTTGGCTGTGCTATCTTCCTACTTGTTCTTTGAATTCTGTTTGGGGAAAAATGCTCAACTAAGCAACTGTGATTCATTTATGAAACAAATATTTTTTCCTTCTGTTTAAATAAGTCTGATTTCATAAAAACTGCTTTAAAAAAACCTGCTATGTTTTTTGTGTGTGTAGCCTTACACAATCTCAATAAATTCAGAAGCAGGGGTAATCAGAAAGGGAGTGTTGCTGAGATAAATGATACAAGGACAGAAGATCAAAAGCAGGAGAGGGAAAGTTCTGGCAGGCTTATGAACTACGGGGTTAACATTTCTTGTGTGCTAACTGTATTGCTGCTGAAATCACAGAGGGGTTAGGTTTGTTTTTGTTTTAATATAAATAAACTGCGGGGCATGCACATAGAACTATAGAAATTGCAAGCATCTCCTTTAGGACAGCTTAGATTTTGAGGCAGGTTGCATGTACATGTTTTAATACATCATTTTCTATGAACAGTTTGCCAGCCTTCTATTCACTGCTATTTATATGTACATATTATATATATACATATGTGTATATATGTGTATAAAAATAGGATTTGTATTGATCCAGGCTTATTAAACACATTGCAGTAATTTCTTGCTTTAACAATGCAAGTATACTAAATCATATCCATTAAATAAAATAATAATCTGGTGATTCTAAACAGATAGCCATCTAGTAATTGTCCACAATGGCACCTTCTAAGTCTGTCATCAATTTCTGTGTAAGTAAATCTCTCTTGAGGACTTCAAGAAACAAGAATTGGTCTATTATTAAAAAAAAAAAAATCTAACCGTGAAAATAATGTGCTTTGGAACCTTCTCATACACCCAATGAATTAGTTTTATCACCTAAAACAAAATCAGCCACACTTTTCATGTAACCTCTGCTTTTAGTTCAAAAGATTGACTTCGAGTATATTCCTTGGGGTTATATCTTGATAGATACTGTTCTGTAGTATTGTTACATTTTGTCTTCTAATGATATGTGAAACTGCTTAAATTTTCTTACTGGTAAAGAAAAATATCTTTTGTGCTTCATAGCCTGTGCATGAGTTTTGTTTTAGAAAAAAAGATTATTTGCTAATGTGTTACTATATTATCTCTAACGATAGCTATTCTGTAGACAACCTGTATTGAAAAATTCCTTCTTGGAACATTTTTGATTCTTCTGCGGTGCGCAATATCTAAGGGAACTAAAGCCCTAATCCATTCAGGTGGAGCTCGGGAGCTGTAAAAACAGTTACCTTAAAGAACTGTCTTTGACACTTGTTATCATTGAACCTAGCCAAAGGAATAGACTTAGCTTATTAAACATGGTCAGAGAATCAATATTTTTTAAAATAGATTATATAGCTTAATATTGATATTGAAAGTATACTGAGTCAAGAATTTGTGTGTTAATGTTAACCAAGGCATTGACACTTCAGCAAACACTTACTGTAAAACTTGATTTTCTGTAACTCGTGTGCAAATAAAAACAGTGGTTTGTTTTATAGGCTCCTAAAAAGTAAAATCCTGATGCAGTTTTCCTCTGGTTGCTATGCTATAAGCCATTAATTAATGTCGGTTTTTAATTTTGTGTTAAAGCTTTAGTCAGGATTCAAAAAACATTTAAATATTTCATATAGCAATGTGGCTCATAAGGATTAAACCCTTAGATTTTGCAAATGAAGCAATGAAAATGATATATTGTTTTCATTTAAATGTTCTGGGAACTTTTAAGGTGAGCTGTCACTTTTTGGCTACTTCAGGTACAAAAGCATCTCAAAATTGGAATGACTTGATATGTCCATATGATTAAAAAAAATCCATTCTGTAAAATAAAACAAGAAATATGGTCTTATTACATAGAACTTACTTCTGGCTAGCTAGCAGAATGTGCGTTTTGCAGTTTAAAATAGTATTTCAGGTGAACTGTAAACTGTTGCAAAGAACTTGCTTTAAAATAAGTAGTAGTCAACAAGTTATAATTGAAGTTCTGTCACTGTTGCATAACTACTGTAATCTTATCCCACCTACACATCATGGGTGGAATTGCAGTTAGAGAACACTAAAATTAAAAAATTGAGGAGGGGGAAGAAAGGAGGGATCTTAAAATACTGGGATTAATTTTGCCAAGTTTTAATAATAATTGAATGCTTCACTAATTAAATAACTACTTGTGCTTTGTATGTTTGCATATACACTGAGGGAGATGTTGCATTGGTCTCAAGATACAACCTCTTCCAATCAACAGCAACTAGCTGTCTTGGGAAATTACAGTCCTATTTAGCTATACTCAGTTGCATTGACTCTCGCTCCTTCCACCGATGGAAGCTGTGGGTAATAAGACCAGGCTGGAATGTACAGTTAGAACTGCTATTAAAGGTGCTATTGCTGTGGGGGGGTGGGAGTAAGGAGCTCGCTGTGATACATACATCGGTTTTCTCCTGAGTTTATCAGCTATTTGGGTTTTTTGCAAAATTTGAATCTGTGATTAAAGTTGTCCTAAAAGTTGCAACTGCTAAGATTTAAGATGAGTGTCGATGTTTACAGATTTCTAGAAGTGAAATCCAATTGGCACTACTTAAATAAATAAAACACAATTCTGCAGCAGTTACCTTATCTCCCACCCCCAAGTGGCATCAGTGCCAGGAGCAGGAAAAAGAAAGTAAATTAAAATTGTCATATTGGAGTTAAAAAACCTGAAGCTGGGTAACAGCACCACTGGTATAAAGGCGGTTTATAAAACATGCAACTTTTAAATACAGAAATGTGCTTCAAATATTTGGAAGTTGATTCCAGTATGTCGGTTGATGACTTCCTCAAAACTGTAGTAGTACTGTAGAAATCTGTCAGGAAAAATGCGAGTGATAGTGTTGCAGAATATAATGAAAGTGTAGCAATTCGTGAAGCTAAAAAAAAAATGCAACAAACTATCCAACTTGCCATTTTTAAGTGACAATTTTATCTCTCTGGCTTTAAGTAGTTTTGCTGCAGTTTGTCATTATTGTTCTTTTCTGGTGCTTGTTGGTCTTGTTTTCAATGGGAGTTTTGTCCACAGGATTCGGACAGAAGCTTCTTTTCTTCCTAAAGAAAGAAGAATTGCAAGTGTTACTAGTTTTGTCTCTGCCTAGCCTTTTTTTCAGGCTTTTCACTTGTGCAATCATTTATTTTTTTTTTTTTATAAATTCTTACTGTTGAATCTTTCTAAAGATGTCTGTCACCCCGTTTTTAGGTAGTATAGATGGAAGAGTGGTGTTTAACTTATAAAATGCCTGTAAGATTGATTGCTTCATTTTTTTTCTCGTCTTCTCCACAGAATTATGTGCTAAAGAGATTTAACATGCAGGACGGTGTTTTAGTCTGAAAATGTCAATGTCTTTAATCAACGTCCATAAGCAATTGTTCAAGTATTTAAACTTGGAAAAAAAAAAAAAACAAACAGTATTTCATATTGAACATTTTAGTTCAACTGCATTTTATAGGATATTTTCGCACAGCAGAGTAAGATCTGTCCTGATACAGTGGCTGTTTCCCTGCGCTCTTATCTATAATGTAAGAAGATTGTTCATAGTATCAGTAACTTTTTCTCCTTTAATTTTAAGAGTCTCTTTATAAGAATTTTTTCTGACTTATTTTTCAGTTTTGGAAAGTGACTAGTTTTAAAGTATTTTTGCTGTCTTTTTTTTTTTTTAACAGTATTTCAGTCTATCAAGAAAGAAGATCGTGTACTATACCAGTTTTGATCAGCGGAAACGAGCAAATGCAGCATTTTTAATAGGTGCATATGCTGTAAGTATTGTTTATCACATGGATGCTTCTAACCTCCATAAGAGACATCTGCTATGTGTAAAATAATATCACAGGGGATGGTCTTTTAGGCAGGTAGGCAGATTGTCATGTGATTCTTCTCTAAGCTGTCTTTGAAAATTCTGCTGTATGAGTTTTAGGGAAGCCCTGTCTTTGGCATTTAACTCCATTTACTTTACTACACAGGGAGTGGCTTTGGTGGATCATGTGCATGTTTCCCATAGAATACCATTTTCTTGAATGTCAAAAATGCAAACCACAAACTTACCTCTAAACTTGACTGTCGTAGGATCAATTGCTGCTCATGGCAGTAGTGAGGTTCATACATAAAGCTTTATCTCACAGCCTTTCTTAAAGTTACTAGACCAGAGGCTAGTGATTATTGTATGGATTTCTTTTCTCAGTTAATTTTCATAGCCTACCCATAATAATGGAAAAATGGAGGTATTTAAGCCTTCTAATATTACAGATAGTATGCAATACACAGGGCTGTCTTAATTACACAAGCCTAATTTATTATGATATCACGTAAGTTTTGATAGCCTCAAGCTGACGCTTGCACAGCCACTTGTGCGTCTTCATAGCAGTGTAGCTCAAACTTCAATTTCACCTTCCTGCTCTACTGTCCAGAATTGGCGCGCACTTGTAGAAAGCCCAGAGTCTTTGTGATGGCACGTTTTACGCTGATAAAGTCTTAAAACTAACAAGCTGCTGGTCCTCAGCTGACATCCACATGGTCAGCTGAGTTCTGGAAGTCTCTGTTAAGTCAGGCTTTATTCTGTGTGAAAGCTGGTATATTTCTTTCAGGCCTGAGGTCATGCTGAAAGCAAAGCTCAGTAAATGCAGATGATAAGAAAGAATTTAGGTTGCAGATTCTCTTAATTAAAATGTTTTACTACAAGTATGGGGATAGTGTGTAAATGCTCTTGAGAAAGATCTGTTGAAATTTAAAGATGGGAAAAAATTGGGGATAAGTTAAAATTTTAAAAATCTTTGGGTTAGATTTTCAACCCTTGGGAGTAGACCTGATGAAACAACTCTGCAAAAGGAATAGTAAGAACAAATGAGGTAGAATGTTTTAAGTTTGTTAATGTTTTTGACCGTAGAAAGCTATATTTAATAATGCTGGAATTAGTTTCTAATTCTGTGGTTTATATTCTGTTTAAGGAGACTCCAAATTTGATAGTGTATCTTTATAAGCTTTATTGTCCCTTCAGATCCAAAATCTGTCTGAATTGTAGCATCTTCAGTAATGATTCGCACACTATAGTTTGTAAAGAAACTTCAGCCATTCCATTCAGACTGCTTTTTGTTTTCTGTTTGCATCATTATATCTCCAGTTCTGTATTTAGAAAGATTCACTTTGTGTTTTAAAGCTGGTCTAATTAAGCCTATAGCTAGAGAACACTCATCTAGCACATATGTAGATTACAGCATCCAATTGCCTTCACTGGATTGCCCTTTTCTGATCCTGCCTTGACCTTCTGACACATCTTAGAAACCTTGGAAAGCCTAGGACACTGGCATTTTGAAGGGAATTATCATTTTATTCCCCTTGTCCAGTGCTTGTTATATGACTGTCTCAACTACATAGCTGTTCTCTGTGGATAAGGGGTTAAAAGGCCCTTACCAGTATTAGGTAGACCCAAGGAGAGAGCGCTGCTGTCCATGAAGGGACATGCACTTGTGGGATGGGCAGCAGAAATCCCTCTAAAGAAAGTCGAGAGGGGGAGCACATAGTATGTGTACCATGGCATGACTGTGTATATACTCCATAAGGGCTATCAGGTGGCACATCGTGTAAAGAGTTGGTAGCTTATGTGTACAATAAGGTAAATTAGTGTGCCACAGCTGCATGCACATTTAACCCTTGCCTAGCCTGTTCTAAACTGCTTAGAGCTCTTAATTGCTAGCACGTGCAAGTGATCCACATCTGCATTTGATACTGTTACTCTCCTGTCAGACTAGTAGATGTTTTAAGTATCTTTTGATTATTAACAATATTATGTACCAAGAATGATTCTTTACTAATACAGTGTTACCAGTACAAAAAAGTATTCCTTCTCTTGTTGAAAACACCTTACAGTCGCTTTCCAGTTCATCTCAGTTTAAGTTTAGTATAACATTGGAAAACAGTTTGCACGAAGGTATCCAATATGTTACATAAGTATGTCATCCCAGAATTATTTCTATAGATGTGTATTCTTAAACTTGCAAGTGTTATGGGAGTTCATTCGCCTTCTATAATGATTGATACTAATGCTGATAAATTCATAAAATGAATATTTATTTATTCTAAAAAGTTATTTATAATCTACCTAATAATCTGATTTTTGTTTTTTAACTGCAGAAGCTGAGCTTTTGTGATCCAGGCATATTCATTTCATACTCAAGAAATAATACTTGCATTTTTGGAGTGTTTTACCTGTAAATGCTATGTTCAGTCAGATGCAGTAGATGTATACTCTTGGGTTACGTGATAGGGCGATTCCTGACCTGAAGGAATCTAATCATATTCTTCAGTAAAAGAACTGTGTGTAATTGGCGATTTGATCTATTACAATTTGAATATCCAAATTGTGACAGAAATATATGTACTCTTTGATTTCAGGTCTTCTAGATTTTATGTCCTTTCTTCAATTATACAAGCTTTTTGAGACCAGAAAGTTTTATAGCTATGAACTCTACCAATGTCTGAAAGTTAATTGAGAAGGCTTGTTTTATTTGTCCTGGTGTTAAAATATTAAGTGTAAAATGAAACGTGGAATACAGTGGATCAGGTTCTAGGAATGGGTTTCCAGTGGTGATTATGCAGCTTAGGTTGTTCCATTAAACAGCTTCTTAGACATGTTGAACTGAAATACCCTATAGCTATTAAAATATTTTAATAAGAGAGTCATAGATTTAAGCAAAAGTTAAGTCTTAAAACTTTATTGGCAATAGCTTGCCTGTTTGTAAATTCCATTCCAGGAAGAAGCATTTGCTAAATTTCAGTTTTCACAATGGACTTTCAGTACATTTGAGCTAATCATGTCCAGTTGCTAAATTATTGTCCTTGCTCTTAAGAATTCTGCAAAGATTACTTCTATCATAAAATTCAGATTAAGAAGAAAAAAACATTTTAAATGTTACAAGAACAGAAGAAGTGCAGACTTCTCTGATCTTACAGAGAAGTTCAAGGTTCCTCCTGAATGGCCAAGACTACAGCATAGACTGTTCAGTAATGTCAGAAACAGGGTGCTACGAAGTTTTGCAAAGTCTTACCAGGCGCCACAGAGAATATTTTGAAGCTAGTATTGCTTTGCTTTTCCCTTCATGTGTTTGGAGACTTATTTTAGTTGTTAGGGTTTTTTATGTAGTCTTCCACAATAGTTAATTTAAAAAAAAAAAAGTCTTTTAAAATAGTTTAAAAATAGTATTACAAGTACATTCATGCATACTAAAACGAAAGTAGCCTGATTTGACTCAATTTGTCCCCAGTAGTTTCTAGGGGAAAGAGGGGTGAGAGGGAGTAGGTTTAACTGAATTATACTGAAGTGATTACATGAACTCCCCACTTGTCATCAAAGAACTCATTCTTGGAGAAATCATGAAGGAGAATGCATTTTCTCCTGTGTGATAACATGTGGATGAATTGGGGGCTGAGTCCTTCTTTCCATATTTCCATATCCTTAAGAGGTGTTTGTTACGTTTCTTTTCTGGTTGGAAACCAAGGAACCCCTACCTGGTCATGTACTCTGCTATCTAGTAAGGTTTGAATTCCCTGGGGGAGAAGAGCAGGAGGAATACTAGTTTGTACCAGTGACTGCTCTTGTACTTCTAGAGAAATGGGGCAGGGGAAGGAGAGAACATGACACTTGCTCCTCCTGGTAAACCTAGAGCTTTAATTCTACCCTGGTAGCAGACAAGTAGTAGTTGTCTCTTGCAATTCTTTAGCGGACCAATATCTGACTTTTGAGCAGTCCTGGTGAAACATAATGCATTCGTGCTGTGACAAACTCTGAAAAGAGATCCAGTGAGCTCTTTTTCCTTTTCCTTGTAGATAGCAGATGGGCTGATCATATTTCTTTCTCACAATTACTTTAAGTGTGTATTTTGGTAGTAGAAGCTTTTATTAGACTTCTGTAATGCCAATAAGGGAGAAAAGCTGTTGAGTTCTAAAGTTTGTAATTTTATCACAGCAAATGACTGGGTAATAGTGAACTACTGTGGCATGTTCAGTCATTTGCTTGCAGGAGTGTTTTTCCCTAATGTAAAAATACAAATTAGACTTCTCAGCCCTACCCAAAGTTTTAAGGGTTTGTTCACTTGTAATCTAAACATATCACACTACTGCTCAAATCCGTAATCCTTCCCTTGGAGGGTCAGCAAGTACAAAGGCTTTTTAGTTACTGCAGTGTGTACAGCCTCTTTGCTGTTTCAAGCAACACCTTTCTTCAGATTGCCTTAGACTGACTTCATAGAACTCTTGTGATAACTTAGCAGGTCTAGAATGGATCTGTTCCATATGCTTCTACTTCAAAAATGGCACGTTCAGGTGGGAACAAGATGAATCCAAATTGTATCTGAAATATTGTGGATGGGTGTTAAGGTGGACTCGCAAAATACCAATTCCCTTTTTGTTCTGTAAACTTTTTAGGACATATGACCAGCGTGTATGTGGCTAGTATTGCTAGATGTCATGTGCCCGCATAGTGTCTCTGTGGAGAGCTTTATCTTTCAACCACATCATTATTCAGGAAGTTGGGAACATAAGAATAGAAATGTCAGAGAAAAAAAAAATTGAAAATTTTCAATATTTGCTAAATCTGTTGTTATGAGTTAGAATAGTGACAGTGGGGAAAGGGAGAAAAACCTTGTCCCTTGTAAAACAACTCCTGTAAGAGAATAGTTACTATCTGGAAAGTGACCTTTCTTTTAAAGGCTTTTATTCACATTATTTCTTAGATACAGGTTCAATTTATACAAATGATTCACTACAGGCTCTTTGTGTTGCCTTTTTTTTTTTACTTGTATATGTTGCAGAATGAAAGCACTCTGAAGATTCATCATACTAGATTAAAAAATGAAGCTAAGTTTCAGTTGCTGAGTTTTCATTGATAAAGATGAGTCAGAAAATGGTCTCCTGGGTTTTTGTTAATGGATATCACTACTTTTTAAGTACTAAAGACATGTAGTGTTTCCTTCTGCATTTCATTATCCTTCCTCCTTCAGTTATTGCGTTATTCTTGACAACTGAGATACTTTTGTTTTTTCAGGAGCTCTGTTCCGTATTTCTTTCCCTCTCCTCCTTCCTCTTGTGTTATTAATATCTTTTTCCTGTTTCCACCCTGGTGTCTTTATTATGAGCTTTTATGAGCTTTGTGGACAGACAAGTAGCAGTGTTCGGTTCAAAATGTCATGTATGCATGTCTTTGAGCAGAGACAGCTTTGAAGTACCATAATTTCTGTGAAAGAAAAACTGCAGCATTGGGAAAACATTCATATAGTACAAATTTGCCCCGGCTTCAGATTTCTGCCTCCCTACTGTGTAAGATGGAAACTCCTCTTTCCTGAAGGTCTCTGACCTGCCCTCTAAAGATCTTTTGACTT